AGGCAGCGAGCTTGGGGAGAAGTGCACTCCGACTTAGAGTGACCTTCACTCCCACACAAAGGACAGAGAGAGACAGTCCCAGAGCAGCGGAGGGCACCATGCCCAAACCTCCAGCACTTATTACAAAGTCGAGGAGAAGGAATATACTCCTGGACAGAGCACCTAGCACCAGCAAGAATGACAGAGGATGGAAGGGTCCTACCATCAAAGGTGATCTTCACAACGCGAAGGGGTTGACGGCGACGACCACGAGGGGGACGAGTAAACGAGTCAACCTGGAGGACAGAATGGCCTTGGGCATCAAGGATATGCCGAATATCATCATGGCAATCCTGCAGATTCCGAACACCGGTTGCAACATGGGGTGGGAGGAGAATAGTGCCAACACTGGAATTCATCTGAACGTTCTTGGAGACCCGAACAGGGATCTCGCCAAGGCAAGATAAGGCAGCCAAGCGGGAAGCCGCATCCTGAGAAGGAGCAGCAACGACACGTGTACCGAGACGAGTGGGGTTGAAAGTAACACACGCATCCACGGAATCTACAAGATGCCGATGGAGGGAGAAATCGTCAGGAGGCGCAGAATCAAGAGGGAGGAGATCAAAGTATTTGGCCCATGAAGCAGGACCAAACAAGGCCTGATACGCATCAGCACGGGAAGGAATCGAGCGAGTGCGGTTGGGGCGCGAACGGCGTTGAGAACCCCTAGAGAGAGAGGGGTCAAAAGGCGCAGTAGTCACAACGAAAGACTTAGCCACACCAGGGGACGAAGTGGTCACCACCGGGGGCTGGAGGCTCGACCCAACCTCAGAGGAGGGAGGGGAGCTGGGGGAAGAAGTCAGGACGGTCAAAGGAGGAGCAAGGTCGGGGCCCAACGTAGCGGGAGCTACAGAGCCTGGTCTTCCAATACTGGCCGACTCGGGGGCTTGGTCGCCCACCCCACGAGCCTGAGAGGGTACAACGGAAACATTCAACGACATAGAGACGAAAAGTGACAAATTCATCCACGAATGTGCCCCCATACCCACCATGGAGCCACAATTAGAGGCAGGACACCCAACAGGAAGCTATCGCCGATCATGCCGGGGCCCCCTAGGGGTGCGTCGTGAGTATACGCCCCACAAACGCCACCTTAAGAACCGTCAGTCCGTCGAGATCGGGTTCAGCGACGAAAGGGGGATTGACAATAAAAGGTTCCCCTCGCTCGAGACGTCGGGTACTACAGTTCTACGGGTGCAAGAGTATGCCTCCTCAAGCACCCGGGCGTCAAAATAGAAGAAGTCCAAAGAAATAATCCAAAACAAGCAAAAGGTCGGCAGGAAACGACAAGCAGATAGGAGAAGAGGGGGGAGAAAAACGAAACATAAGGAAAAGGAAAAGCGATCCGGCACAATTGGAGAAGACAGCAGCAGGAGTGCAAGGCCAGAAAAGGACAGAGGACTGCCCAACGGAGCATCACACTCCGGCAGCCGTCCACCAAGCCCCCTCACGACGCCAACGGGCCAGAAGGGGAGGGGGCTTATATTGTTAAAATGCATTCTGTGATCATGGGAAACTAAAAAAAAAAAAAAAAAAAAATTGTATGAGGCATACTTTGGCCGTAATGGAATGAGGAAGTCTGGCAATAATCACTCGCTGAGAGAGAACACGCCAGCTGTGGTGTGCTCCAGCCGAGCAGTGTGGTGGGGGCTGATGCAAATATATTTTTACACAATTATTTCAGTGTCTTTGAATAGTAGTAGTGTATATTTTTTGCAGTAATATTATTCAATAGTGTGTAACTTGAGGAATATATATAGTTAAATGTGTGAGTGTAATATTGCTATGCTCAAAAATATGGTGCTCATATGTTATGACACGTATATTATATTCTTATATCAATCAAAGTGCTTTTCAGTTTTTTACACTATACACTCACTTCATATACTAGTACAGTATATAACTATCTACATTTTTGTGCACCATAACAAACCACAAAGATGGTCTGTTGAGAGTCATAAACACAATCACACTCAAAGATGAAGAAGGCAGTGCCAGAGCCATCCCCGCCGACCCGGCTGCTGACACCATGGGCCCACCTCGACCTGACACAGCCTGAGCCCTGGCCCAACTCTTCCGCGAAGGTCTAGAATGACCTCCCACGGACACACAAGTCAGAAAGAGGACGGCAACTAGCCGACGTCGCCTACAAAACTGAGCAACATTGTCCTCTGGAAAAGCAAAGGACAAAATGGGGAAGCTGAAAGAACAGCTAGAGCCCACACTAACTCCAAAGAGCCAGCACAGCCTGCTGACAAGCGAGATGGGAAATGAAGACCGTGAAAACCATACCCAGAGGATCGAAGCATACAGCTTCAGTAAGGCAGATGACGCCGAAGCAGCCAAGACCCCCCAGCAGAAGGCCCCCCCCCTCACCCCAACTAAGTGACCCCATGTTCTTCAAAATTCAATCCGAAGACAGTTCCAGGAGGCTGAAAGACCACACAACAGAGGCCAATTGCGCAGGAGATTGAAGGTCGTCAGCCACCAAAGCACCCGAAAGAAAGAGAACCTGAGCGTGAAGCTGCACAAGACCTATATCACAGGAAAGGGCTGGGGCGAAAAGGTACTGATTAAGGGACTCAATAGAGCCCCCCAAAAAAAACAGACAGATGCTGTTTGGGCAGACAACATACTGTGCCCAAACTTCTGTTCTGAAGGCCAGATGTCTGGCTGAACATTACAAGATTAAGAAAATATCATTTGAGACACCACAAATAAGCTTTAGTGTCATAACAAACGAGAATTTTTAACTAATTGAATGATTTTGAATATCACAACAAATGGGTTAATTAACTGGTGATGCATCTCTCTCTTCCCACCCCTCTTAATTTTACAGTACAGTAAATTAAAACAGAAATCAGAGGTTAAATAATAAAATTAGGTTCAATCTACACAGGACTTGATAATGGTCCAGGACGGACCAAAACGTCTCGTTTCTTCATCTTCTGATGTGTCGTTTGATCATCAAAATTTGGCTCTATTTACCTGATATGCACTGTGGCGGTCTGTGTCTGTGGCAGACTTTTAATAAATCATCAAAAGAAAGTATTAAGTCAGCATAGCAATATAGCATTAAGTTACAAATGAATCAAAATTACCTATATAGTAAATAAGGTTTTTATAACTCATTTGATTGTCACACTAAAACTTGCACAGACTTTAGACAATTAAAATTATTTTAAGTATTTTATAGTGTCATGAGTCAATTGTAGATTTTTTTTTTGTTAGTTTGATTGATGTCGAGGTATGGGGGATCAGGGACCTGGCGGGGGTGTAGAATATTTGCATAATGCCCACTTATAATATGTGAAACTGGTTTTGCTTTGTACACTTTCTTATAATGCATCCAAGAAATTATTGACACATTCACTTATTTCATTCTGTGTGTGTCACTAAAATTGATTCATCCTAACCGAATGCTAGGATGAGTCAATAAATAATATAATAATGAGTCAATAAAATAAATGACTATTCCTCTAACTGGCACATGATAGTTTTATGAATACAAAATGTTTTGGAAACTAAATAAAAATTCCTTAAAATTTAAGCTGTTCTTACTATGATTGGGAAAGATTTCAAGGCCAGTGGACAAATGGCTCTCGAGTTTAGAATATAATGGCCCATAGCACTTTATGAATGCATACATTCTTTCTGATCATCACAGTACTTACCTCTTAGGTATCCGAAGAAGGCAATTGGAAAAATTACTGATTAAGATACTACATAAATCTTGCTCGTTATACAAAATTGGCACATAAAATATACATATACTCTAAAGTATATATATAATGAGCATCAAATATTAAACCAGATACATAAGTCAATGGATAAAGAGAACAAAATCTACTGGAATTCATAATCTTGGGCTTCCATCCATATACTCATGCACATACTTATCCAAGAAAAAAAAGGGGGGTTGTATATAAATATATACTATACAGTGTTTGTGAATAAAATAAGTAAATTTGCCCATATAATATATAGTGGAGGGGGATATAACTTGGGGCTAGTCAATGGTAAGTGATCAGTTTCAAATGTAGTTGACAATAAGTGCTATGACAAATATACTTATCACATGAAAATAATATACAATTTCATGGTAACAAATACTATACCTCAATATACCTATGAACAGATGTCAAGTTTAATTTCTCAAAATGAATCAATGTACAAACAAAAAAGTAAATTAAATGAAAGGGAATACTTTATTTAATAATAATTCATTGTATGAGGGAACAGGCAGCCAGTTTATACATACAGTACATGTCAGGCTTATATCGAGGTCCCCCAAGGGTTGAATTACTGACCCTCCCCAGGATGCAACTCCACAACAAGCTGACTAACTCCTGGGTTCCCACTAGGTGATAGGAAACGTGTTCAACTATCTCTGTCCTGCCTGGGATTTGAACTCAGAATTCTCGATTGTGAGTCGGTCATGAACGGACCTAACTGTATCCGAGACCCTTTACTTCACCGCCATTTTTAATTTTTTATATGGTATCATTAGTAATAATACACACAAATCACAATAACGTGATATATCAAATTAACAAATCCACAAGGGCCTTGATGAGGGTTCGAACCTATGCGCTGAATGTTCCCAGATGCGCTCATGGCAACTGTACCACAACATGGTAAAAGAATTGCAACCTGGAGAGTTACTGCACCCATGAGGATCCTGAGGCTTCCACTGAAGCCTAACCAGGGTTTCACATAATTTCCCCATGCACTCGGGCTCTGTCAACCAAATAGATCTATCTCTGATGGCAAGATATACTTCAATATATTAAAGTATCAAAGGTAGAACTATTTGGTTGACAGAGCCCGAGAGCATGGGAAAATTGTGTGAAACCCCGGTTAGGCTTCAGTGGAAGCCTTAGGATCCTCATGGGTGCAGTAGCTCTCCAGGTTGCAATTCTTTTACCATGTCGTGGTACAGTTGACATGAGCGCATCTGGGAACATCCAGCGCATAGAACCCTCATCATTGTTCATTAATAATAATTAAATCAAACATGATTCTATTTTCTACGACACTTATCAAAGTAAGGTACCAGAAAAAAAAACTACAAATGTACAAGTTCCCTAATAGATACCTTATCACCTTATCTACAACTTCCATACTCCTCCAGACCAGGTGAAGAATTACAACATTTTTCTTTTATGTTTCATTTTGCAAAATGAATCGGATATTTATCACATTAGTAATTACAAATATGCCATACACAGTACTGTAAAAAGACTAGCATAATAAATTTTATTAAATTTTAAAAAATAATATTAAATTGCTATGCAAACATAACAAACAACACAGGTTACATTTGAAAGAGAAGCTAAGGTTTAGGGTAAACAACTGTAACTAATCCTTTCGTATACAAATCATAAAAACTGCTGCCACGTCGTCATCATCATATAAATCCCACTTACTATACCCTGATGTATGAACTATACATAGATCTACTATACATATACAGCCATTTTCTTGTAGCATTTACCCTTCAGACTCTAAAACATCTTAAGTTACAGAAACTTTGAAAAAAAATCTGCCATTTTGATTTTCAAAGCCTGAAATTCATGAAGAATATCACAAACAGGCTATGACACAGAGGAGTTTATTTGTGCACTAAAGTTGATTTCTTGACTTGTAAGTTTGGTATAACCTTATAAGTCACAATGCAAACATCTAAGCAGTTACTTCTTAAACATTGCCAGTAATCAATATTGAGCAGAAAACTTCTCATTAATAACTGAGTATGTTACAAAATTTGTATCGAGACAAATATTCTTATAATCCATACTTAAGATACCAATTTCCACAGCAAAACACAGTATATTTGCAGGAAGCCAAATATTTGAAATATTGGGAAAGAACTTATCTTGTTAAATGTAATCTTAAAAACCTAATTGAGATCGTATAAATTTTTATTGCTAAATTCAGATTATTTTTAAAACAAATAACTGAGCAAATCATTCAGAATTTTTACACAAAATTATGAAAACAATAAATTTTTAATATGAAAAAAATTAAAAAAATCAGCGTTGAATGTAATGAAGTGCCATTTTCTGGGTGAGCCCCAGAAGCTCCTAAAGCTAGCTTACTGATTAGGTGCCATACTATTAGGAGTCATCAGTCACAGAGTTCTTGTTGCATACCGGAGACCACAAGCCAGAACCTGACCCCCCCCCCCCTCACAGAGCAGCAGGGAGCAATAGCTCATGAACACTTTACGTTTAAAGTTCATCTTGCCATCGACCAGGGAAGCACCCAGAAAGGTAGGCGAATCAAAACAGACTACTGCATGGTTGAAAAATGAAACCAGCACCATTCTGAAAACAATAGTGTGTAATGCGATAAAATTATACAATAAAATGTGTGGAATATCACTATACTAAAAAACCAGTGTTGAATGTAATGAAACACCATATCTGGGTGAGCCCTGGAGGCTCCCTGAAGCCATCAAACCCTCAGACGTTTGGGAGCCAGGAGAGGGCAAACAATGCCAACTGGGGAAGGACTTAAGGGTGCAAACAGAACCAAGGTCGAAGTGACTAATGCCCCCAACTCCAGGGCCTTATAACCAAAACAGGGCAGCCCCGGGGCATCCGAGAGGGCAACTAACCTAGCGCATTGCAGCAACGTAAACCAGGCATGTGACGCGGATGCCACCTGAACCCGAACCTCAGTGACAACAGAATGGGTAAAGTGGAGCACGAGCAGAGAACACGTCTCACAAGATTCCGGGTCAAAGGTGTCGTTGACCCAACAGGCAGCATGACGGAGGCAAAACAGGTGACTGTCACCCTGAGACATGGGCACAGGGCACAGAACAACCTTCAAACTCGCACAAGGTGAGGTGGAACTCGGAGGATACATCCTTTGGTCAACTGAGCCCTGACGTGAGTTTCCAGGGCCCCTAGGGGTCTCCCCTACAGGAAGCTTAGGCAAGGTACTGCTAACCAGTTAACCCAAAAGCTAACACAGGGGGATGAGCTATTAACTGGACACCTGTAACTTGTACAAGCACGAGGGCCTAGAGGAAAGGACCACCAATATACCATGTGTGAACTAATAGCCAAACAAGGCAGACTCCCTCCTGGCAAAAAAAAAAAAAAAAAAAAGTTCAATGCCACCAGAAGGAACAGAACATGGCTGTCGCATAGGTAAGCAAGCTGCACAACACCTTGTGCCCCAACAAGCAACACCACTTCCTACCCAAGGCCAAACAAAGACCACGAAACCCTAGCTGGCCCCAAAGGCGGGGTAAATGCCGAGCAGCAGGAAGCCCTACGGAAGTGGAATCGCGAAGGCTCTATGGAAGGTAATCCTTGAACCCAAGGGTAGTACTTATAGGGTGCCTAGGGAAGGTTGCCCTAAGTGCATGCAACCCCAGTACACAAGTAGTTACTCCTGGCCACTGCACCACAAAGAGCAGGAATACTACAAAGGCAGAAAATCTGCCAAGACTTCAAGGCCAGAGTTGACGACTGCCCCAGAGTGCATCAGCCTATGTACTGAAGATGAGAGTAGCCAGTGCAGCAGGGGGTCCGGTCCCCCTGCATGGACAAACAGCACGGCGATGGTGAATGACATTTTCTTGTTGGCATGTTTCCTTATGTTTTTGGCGAGTTCTGTCTCTCTATTCAATCTTTGGTTGCAATTTCGTACCATGTGGGGTCTGTTTTTTTATGCCTTTTTTTCTGGCTGCCTAACCCCGGTTTATGGCTGACATGGAATGCGCCCAAACACATAGGGGTTTCTATAAGCCATTGCTCCCTGTGCCTCTTTAAGGGAGGCCAGATATGGTCCCCAGTAGGCAGAACTCCATTGACTGATGCCCCAGATTAATATAGTGTATATCAGTCAGATAACTCCAGGGAGCCGAAGGGGCTCCCCACAGAAAAACAGATAATACATGTCTTCAAATCAATTACTTCTAAACTAGATAAATTCCTCCACTTATAGTCTAACCTTCAATAACATGTAACTTAATTATACAAATTCAAAGTGTCAGCCACTAATTAATATCAACAGAATGTAAAGTGCCTGTCATTTGCATTAGACACCCAAAAAAGTTCAAATACAGCTATAATCAAGTAAAAATTTCACAACAATAAATGCACAATTATATTTTCTCATTAAGTGGTTTACAATGAATATATTACAATGAAGGCAATAATAAGTGAATTACATGACAAACTCCTGATGATTATACTGTACCTACTTTTAAAGACTGAAGTTCTTCCTACAAAGACTGAATATATTTAGAAGCAAATGAGGAACAACAAGTGAGGCACTTATTGTTGCCCAGCTTTTTCTGCTTTTATCAGCAGAACATATTAGTTGTTGATAGTTCCAACTTCACCTCCAGTGTAGCCGAGATTCTTTAATTTCTTTGTCAGTGCCACAGGTACTTATTTTAAAAAGCTTGATAAAAGGCTTTACATCTGCCTAACATTCTCTATATGTTAGGACCCACTTTTGTAAATATCAAAACTTAATACTGTAAAATGCAAATCTCTTAACATATGAGCAGATTCAAAACCAATAAATGAAGAGGGGCAAAAATTAAACTCAGGTGCTATTAATTGTACTAAAATAATCAAGTCCCTGAAATTGTTGCAAGTAGCTAACATACATAAAGCAAAAATTGAAAACAAATTAACTTACTTGAGATCTTCTTGTTGCCGAAGAGAGTAGCTGTCATACTAACAATGAGATCTATCACGACTTCTGATTCTTTGAAGTCTATAGCCATGTCACTTCACACTGCACCACGACTGAAATTCTTATGTTTTAGAGCTTTCAATCTTTACCTTATACATTTTGTTTATCTTACAGAGTACTTAGCTAGCAGATAAATTTTACACGTGCACACAAACATACCATTTATGTGAATTAGAACCAGAACAAAAGAACAGAAGAAAATTCATGACATTCTACACATTTGTTGGCAGTAATCCTACGTTGCAGCAAACATGTTGCTTCTGTGCTACCTGTACTGCAAAATAAACCTGCTATATGTTAATAATTAACATTAGTGTACTGTACAAACATTACTTTAACATGCTCTCACGAGATTCACTAACTCCCTGCTAGATAACATAAATGCAGAGTAAACCAAACATTATATACAAGTAAACAGTATCCTCACATGTGCCTGTGTCTCACCTGACTATAAAACACTGAGAGTAGTATGGACATTGTTTACTGAACAGTGATACAAGTCTATTAACTATAAATATTTCTCAAAATCTCTAGCCAAGACTTGCAAAAAAAAAAAAAAAAACTGGTAAAAAATACTGCAGGCTCAGTAACCGAAATCACACATTCCATCAAAGACAGCATCTCCACATAATGATAAAATTACCACCAAAGAGAAGATACATTAACCAGTAAATGTCTATTTCTGTTATTTCAAATTGAGATTTTGCTCAAGACATGTACAAAATATATAGCCATTTAATCTAAGCTACAGTACCATTGTGAACTTAATAATGACTCCCAAAATTTTCTGGAGGTCCATTAATCATTAAACTTATGAAATTTAATTCAGAATTCACACTCATTATGTCAGTTATTCTAAATTGCTACAAAGCACATCAAATAAACTTAAAAATAAGCATGGTCCTTGAGGTGTAACTAACATTTTGTTTTTGCCAAATGCAGGCTCAGAGTTACAAAAGACTATGACACAGTACTGCCACACTTTGTCTGTATTCATTATCGTGCAGTACTGAATTAGGTGAAAACTGATTAAGAAATGCCAATGAAATATTTCGTAAATAAACTTCTGCCAATTAACACAAAAACTAAACATAACTAACAGCTCTGATAATTAAAATTGCAACATTGCTTTCAACATGGCACACAGTAATGGTGTAATTATATTTACACATCTTAGAATGAGATAATTATCATACAAATCTTCAGTCAATTATATCTCTGCAACTTGATGGATGGCGAGATCCATTCATGACAAAAATGCAAGGACTAAAAGCTCCTTTTAAAATATAATCTTCTAGGCATTAACCACCCAAGTAATGAAAAAATATTATGTATAGAAATGGCATTCAACATATCTCCGCTGGAAAATATAATCTTGAGGGCTGATATAGGGTCCATTTGATTAGTCTTCCTAAATTTGTTTACACAGAACTCTGAAATTCCATATTTGAAGAAATTTAAAGATTGTTACATCATTATGAAGAGTAACCCCCACATCTGGAGTTAGAGTACAGTACTGGCAATAGTATTTGAGCATTAGGAAATCAGTCAGCTATGTACCATCAATTGATTTTGAGCTTTTAAGAAATTGGAAGATCCACTTTCTTGATAAAAGCAAAGAGCTTGATGAAGCTCTACACAGATGCATGATATATTCATCAAGCATGTTATTCACAACCATCCATATCCTGGTTTTCACTGCCAAATATGAGCTAATGCAATTAAAGTTATCTTTGGCCACACGAATGTATATTTTCAGTAAGAACATGTGAAAGTATTTGTATTCATGTGTATGCATAAACACACATGTTTGAATACAAGTATATATGGTTTTGGACATGTAGATGTGCATTCACTGGTAAAAACCAGGTAAATGAGGCACTATTGAGCTATAACCACTGACATTTCCAATGATTTTCATGCTCATGAGTTCAAGATTCCTCCAAAGCAACTAAATAAATACTGTATTTATTCAAAAACATATAACTACTCACACTCTTGAATATTTCTATAAAACCAAGCTGCTCATACCAATAAATAACCCAAGGAAAATAATTCATCAAAGCCATCTCAACTTGCACAAACATGTTCTTCTTAATGAAGCACAGTGTTCATCACCAAGTGTACACTTGAGTCACTCCACTGTTCAATAAACCTTCCTCTTGGGCATAAAAAGCTTGCCTTCATGTGTATGTGTAGGTATTTTCCACAGCTCTTCCAGTAGATCCCCCCGAATTGCTTTGTTCATACTGAAGTCGTTCAAGAGCTGATGTTGTCATACGAACTGATCCTCCATGAGTTGTTACCTACAAAACATTTATGGTATTGTAATAAACAAATAATATATGCATATACTGTACAGTAAATTTGTATTTTATTTCCATCCATCAAAACAAGGTATTTTCTGGGCTGGCACAATCCTTGAACTATCTCACCATTGAGAAGAAAACAACAAAACAGCAGAAAAGCCAAAAAATATCAACTTCAACCCCAGAAAAAATCCTCAAACTTTACAGAGGGTTGAGGGGTGGGGAATTCACCAACACCTCCAGTTCTAGGTCCCTAAACAAAAAACAGGCCAACTCCAGGAAAATCAACAGGGCATATAACCTAAACTGCTGCAAACTGAAACCCGTAGGGTAGCAGTCAGCTGATACACACAAACTTCATTGGGAGGATCAGATAAAAGAGCCACATGTGGAGTGCAAACCCGACACGACTCGGGGTTGTAGGTGTCTTTAACCAAACAGGCAGCATGGCAGAGGTAGAACGAATGATCATCGCCCCATAGCATGGTCAACGAGCAACTGTCAAATTTGCATAAGGTAATCAAACGTCCCTGTGGCCTGGCCTCTGACCAAGCCTCCTGGTGTTTGGTCTAGTGAACAAGCTGTTCCTGGTGTTTGGTCTAGTGAACAAGCTGTTTGATGTGGTTGCTCGTAGCCTGACATATGAGTCACAGCCTGGTTGATCATGTATCCTTTTGAAGGTCTTGATCAAGTTCTCTTCTGAACACTGCAAGTCAGCCAGTTATGGCCTGTATATTTAGAGGGAGTATGTTGAAAAGGTTTGGGCCTCTTGATGTTGATCGAGTTCTCTCTCGGCATACCTATTGCTTTTCCATGGAGTTATTTTACACATACTACTGTACAGCCATGCCTTCTGGTCTTATCTGGTGTTATTTGTGCATGCAGATTTGGAACATGTCCTAGTAATTTCCTAGTGTAAATTATTATGTATCTCTTCCCCCCCCCCCCTGCACTCTAAGGAATACAAATTTAAGCGATCCCAATAACTTATATGTTTTATTGAGTGGATTCTAGCAGTAAAAGGTCTCTTCTGGACCCAGATTCATAAAGCAGTTATGCAAGCACCTACGAACCTGTACATCTTTTCTCAATCTTTGGCAGCTTTGTTTACAATTATTAAACAGTTAATGAGCTCCGAAGCACCTGGAGGCTATTTATAACAATAACACCAGTTGATTGGGAAGTTTTCATGCTTGTAAACTGTTTATTAAAACAATTTACAAGCATGAAAACTTCCCAATCAACTGGTGTTATTGTTATAAATAGCCTCCAGGTGCTTCGAAGCTCATTAACTGTTTAATAATTGTAACCAAAGCCATCAAAGGTTGAGGAAAAGATGTACACGTTCATAAGTACTTGCGTAACTGCTTTATGAATCCGGGTCTAGGTCAGCATTTTCTCCAGCTTTGAATGGGGCTGTTAGTGTGCAATAATATTCCCCTAAAGAGAGCACTAGTGTCTTAAAAAGTGCCAGTGTCATAAAAAGCACTAGTATCTTATCTCTGTTTGAAATATTCTTATTATCCAACTTGTCATTTTTCTTGCAGTTGTGACAGCAACTATGTTGTGTCCTTTAATGTGTAAATCTTTTACGTTGCCTTTTCTTTCAATACTGGAGTGTGCTTTGACGGAATTTTTTATACAGTTTGTTTTGATATTTCATTTTTTCCGTAGTGCAGTAACTGGAACTTATCCTCAGTAAACATTATATTATTTTCTATGATCCATTGAAAGATTTAATATCAGATTGGAGGTTTGTTGTATTGTTTACCCTCATGGAAATCCTAGTGTCATCTGCAAAGGGTGATACAGTGCAACAGTTTGTACCCTTGGGGACTGAGCTTTCCACAGTGGACGATCCAGATTTTACTTTGCCAATTACTATAAAGTAAAGATCCATCTCCCTACTTGGCCAGTAATTCTTTTCATGGGCATTTTGTGTGCAATAACACCATGGTCACATTTTGTTGAAAGCATTTGCTAAATCTTGAAATGATACACAAGCAAGGGGGCACCCACAAAACAAGAGTTCAAGGGATGGTCAACACTTATCTAGAAATAGTTGGAACCTGCAAGGTTGGCATCTCGAGGAACAGTAAAAACTATTGGACATTAGGCCTTCCGATGGATGTAGTATATATGAATTTTGCTAAAGCCTTTAATAAGGTACCACAAGAAAGACTGGCAAGGAAATTACAGGTCCACAGAATAAATGGTAAAATACTATAATGGATAAAACAATGGTTGAAAGAAAGAAAACAAAGGGTCGTGCTAAATGGTAATGAATCTGAATGGTGAAATGTGGTAAGCGGAGTACCACGGGGGGTCCATTTTTAGGGCCAACCCTTTATGTCATATATATCAATTACAAAGATGAGAATATTACAAACCACATCATTAGATTTGTGGATGACACAAAGATTTATGATAAAGTGGAAAATGATAATGATATTGAAGCCTTACAAAGAGATCTACATGAACTCCACAAATGGTCAGTAAGGCATGCGATTGGAAGCCTTACCCTAGAGTACAACTAACAAACCCATTCTTACTTTCTTATAAACAATGGGAGGGGTATCTAGATATATTTGACAAAAGCACAAGTCAAAAGCCAGAAACCTTGTCCTACATTAGACAAGAAATGAACCTTAAGAGTACAATTTCACAACAGGGTTTTATTGAACAAAACAAGATTATTTTACACCGACTAAATATGGGGGCACACTGTTACGCACTAAGATTGTTGAAATACAAAGGAATAGTTCCCAGCAAATAAATACTAGGAGTGAATAGTCTGTAGGAGCCACACCAACTGGGACAATGGTTGCCACAATACTCTTCTACCCTTCCTTGGTAATTACAAAGGTGATATGGGTTTTAACAATACAAAGTTCTAACACTTAAAACACTTTACAAATGGGGGACAAAGTTGATGTGGTAAGACCACATGTTACAGAAAGCCGAGTGAATGACACAAAATACCACCTACACACAGGGTTCCATAAATAACCTGTTTAAAAACTGCCTATCCCTAACACAGAGACCACGCACCTCTATAGCATGTACGAGATACAAGTAACAAGTAATTATCAAAAGAAGGCACCAAACCGGGAAGGCTCTGTAGCACCATCAAAGCAGCATCCACACGCTCATTTAAAGACACCAATATGGCTGGGAACCCAACAAAACTAAACCGACTTAAATTTACTGTGAACAAGAAACAGCCAATGCTGGATCTTGAAAACTACTGGATGAACCGGATTAAAGGACCCGAGAGCCATGAGGGCACTACAAGAGTCAACAACAACTACAAAGGAAGACTGACAACGAGAAAGCAGGAGACGAAGAGCATAGAGAACAGCATAAAACTCCGCTGTGAAGATGCTAGTCTCCGGAGGTAAGCGACACATATAAGTGCGATCTGGAAAAACAACATAGTAGCCAACACCGTCTGCAGACTTAGACCCATCGGTGAAAACAGAAACGGAGCGGGAGTGAGAAGAAAAGTGCTCAAGGAAAAGGCGTTTTAGAACCGTTGGAGGGGTAAAAGCTTTAGTGATGCGGGTCAAAGATGTACAAAACTGCGGACTCTCCACGGGGGCAAAGAAGGAACAACACGAGGAGAAACATTAGAAATACGAACAGAAAGAGAATCCTGTAAGCGAGATAACCTGACAGAAAGAGGGAGGTGGCGACGAGGAACAGGAACTGCAGGAGGGATAAAAGTTAAAGCACGACAGAGGCGAGAGGAAGGATGTTGTAAGGACCGCGCAAGATAGCGAAGACAGTAGCGATCACGGCAGTCCTGGAGAGACAGGAAGCCAGTGTCAACATACAAGCTGAGGACGGGAGTCGAACGAAAGGCACCAGAACTGAGGCGCAACTCAGTATGGTGCAAAGCATCAAGACGGCGAAGAGTAGCAGGAGCAGACGAGTAAGCAGGGCAACCATAATCGAGCTTAGACAGGACGAGAGAGGAATGTAAAGCAAGGAGAGTGCGCCTATCCGCTCCCCAAGAAGTATGGGACAATACCCGAAGGAGGGTAAGGGCCTTAGGGCACTCAACACGGAGGTAAGAGGTATGGGGAGACCATGACAAACGAGTGTCAAGGAATAACTCCAAAAGCTTCGCGGAATCTTTGTACTCAAGGGGATGACCATAAAGTGACAAAGAGGGACGAAGAACGACCCGTTTCCGAGTAAAAGTCATGGCACAAGTCTTAGTAGTAGAGAACTTGAAGCCATGATCGGTGGCCCAAGACGACATGGCATCAATCGCAAGTTGAAGTCGGCGTTGAAGGAGAGGCGAATCATCACCCTGACAGCAAAGGGTAAGATCGTCGATATAGAGAGCGGAGAAGACGCCTGAAGAAAGGAAAGAAGACCATTGAGGGCAACCAGAAAAAAAGAGTAGTGCTCAGAACACTACCCTGGGGCACACCTTCGTATTGCTGAAAAGAGGCAGAGAGAGCAGTACCAAGTCGCACCCGAAAGGAACGACGAGAGAGGAAGCTGCGGAGAAAGAGAGGGAGATGACCACGAAGGCCAAAAGAATGAAGCTGGGATAAAATATGATATCGCCAAGTGGTGTCATAAGCCTTTTCCAGGTCAAAAAGGATGGCAACAACGGAGGTCTTCACAGCAAAAGCAGTACGAATATAGACCAAGTTCACCAGGACATCTGTCGTGCTGCTGCACTTGTGGAACCCAAATTGAGAAGGGGAGAGGAGGTGATGGTGTTCCAGGAACCACATCAGACGAACGTTAACCATACGTTCAAAGAGTTTGCAGACACAACTTGTGAGGGCAATAGGGCGAAAGTCCTTAGGGGATGTTCCCAGAGACCCTGGTTTGTGAACAGGGAGGACAACAGCATCGAGCCAGTCCTCAGGGACTGACGATGACTCACAGATCTGATTATACAGATTCAGTAAATATTGAGACGTGTACGGAGAGAGATGGTGAAGCATCTCATAATGAATACCATCGGAGCCCGT